GTCAGTGATGCAAGTAAAACATTAATATGAGGGGCCGTACAAGCCAAAATTCATTCTTTCACTCTCACACACATACATTCTTCTATCAAAAGATAACATCAATAAACTTGGGTCAGTTTGATAATAACGCAGCAAGATGCTTCAATAAGGCTTTCAGTAGTAGTAGTGTTCACGTCTTCTGGTTTCTCATGTTTTGTTTGCGTCAGCCAAAGATCCTGAAACCAAAGGCAGTCCTCTTCAGGCAAAGCTACATGACCTCAGTGCTGGCAGTGAGGCAGAATGCCTGGATGGTTTTCTATATTTGGACAGAAGATGGGCTGCTCATTAAGGTAAGGAATTAAGGAATTTTTTATATATGAAATTGAATACCATACGGTCTCAAAAGTCATTCTGATAAACAAGGCCTGCATCAGGTGTTGAGGAACCAGGACACACTGATGAGTGTGTTTGCAACTGGAATACAAAGGCAAATGTCGATAACTGCTGAGAATAGAGAGCAGTTGGAATGCTACTAAGCAAGTAATCACAGCAGAAGAGGTTACATGAAGAGGATGTGGGACTTGAGGATTCTTTGGCACACGACATCTATACTAATGACAAAGCAACTTGTTGCTCAGTGTTCCAACATCTGGAAGAAGCAACTGCTATAAAAACTAGAGACTGATGAGGCAGAACACAAATATAGAGGCTAAGTCAGCACAGAGGGAAGTTAGCCAACTACTGGAGATGCAAAAAGATAAGTTGAAGAACAAGATGGCTAATAAGTGCAGCAAGCTGTCCATACCTGAGTGTTCCACGCAAAGACTCACAGCTTTGGCCAGCCACTTGAATGACGTATACCAGAGAGATAGAAGCCAGTCCTGAACCATTAAAGGTGTACTCTCAGAGGCAGGGAAACAGTATGAGAATAGTGAGTGGGGAATTCTTTGTTCTTTATTTAGCTATTTAGTAGAATATATTATAACCTGTTTACTGGAACTCAGCATTTGGTCTCCAAAGAGATGTAAGTGCAAGTGAAGAAGGTCATTACAGTGGATAATCTCTGCATTGTTTCATTGGTTAGTCTTGAACTAACCTGTCTCGAACCTCTCTTTATCAAACTCTAAAATCAAGAGATGCCTTCAAGAATGTAAATACAAAAAACAATTTTGCACTTATTGACAGGAAGGACACGAGACCTCAAACAGTTGGCTTTGACCTGGAAAATATTCTTTGGAAAGATGAAACAAAGATTAACTTGATGATGGGGATGTAGAAGCTGTATGGTTTTTCTGAATGCAAGTTGTAACATTTAACATTTGATATATTGTCTCTGCATGATTTTTTGATTAAATATTGCTCAATACTGTATATTTGCAGATGATTTAAATTCTGCTTACTGTCCCATGAAACAAGGTATAAACAGATTAATCACTCTTCTGATACTTCTGATTTGAGAAAAACAAACCAATAAACAAAGCATTTTATTTTAAATAAATGAAGAAAAAACATTGAGTACAGAAACAATAGTACAGTGTCTCAGAAATAATCACCTTCTTGTTGTCAGCTGTCTGTGGACAGGAAGTATCACGCTGCCTGTCCCACGGTGCTCTACAGGACCAGTGATGACCACAAAGTGTTTTTCAAATTGCATCTGGATCCAGTGGGTCATAAACATGTGTATGTGCCATTTACAAACCAGGTACTTATATTATTTACTGATTATCTTAACGTCACATGTACCTGTGCTGCATTTTAAAGTGTTTGTTGTTCTAGGTGAAGCGAGTTCCTGTGTCAAACTGCAGCACGTACACAAATGTGCAGGAGTGTTGGTCTGCACAGGATCCATACTGTGGTTGGTGTGGCTCTAAAAGCAGGTGAGAGAAACAATATCTGCAGCTGACGTCTTCAAACTATTCTGAACTTGGTGAACATTTCTTCTTCTTCTTCTCCCAGCTGCACATTTGAAGATGACTGCACAGATTCAGACTGGCTGTCCATTCCTGATGAGTCCCAACACAAAATGATTTCCCACAAAGTTGAAAAGGACACAAACGGACAGGTACAGCTTACAAACACACTCGGGACTGTGATCATTTCTGGTTTTCATTTATTGTTCAGTTATGTCCTTCCGATTTTAGATCTCACTGAAAATCCACACACACCTGACTGTGGGCCAGAAAGTATCGTCTGACTTCACCTGCCAGTTCTCTGCAATTTCTGGCCACCTTTGTATTGGGAATAACCCTCCACGGTTCCCCCAGTGCACCTGCTACCTGTCTGATCACACACTTCCTCCTGATGGTTTGTCACTTTTGATAAATAATCCCAGGAATGTATTGATTTGAAACATTTAACAAATTGAGTTGAATCTTTTGTTGTTTATTATTATATATTGGTCCAACTCATTTGAAATTCATCATTTAATATATATATATTTATTTTACAGGCCTGCATGTCACAGTAAAGTTTAGGCTTGGAAAAATACTCCTGTCAGAACAAATGAAATTAACCAACTGCTCTGACATCCATGGACCTCCAACTTCTATCTTGTAAGTCCAGTCAGATTATAAAGATAACAAATAATCATAGACTGAAATAATCATTCCCATGACTTATAAAATAACCATGTCCTAGTCATACAAAATAAATATGATGAAATAAAATAAGTGAATCTTATGAGTAGTTCTATGAGGCACATTCAAAGTCCTCTGATCCTATATGATTGTTTTCTGTTCAGGTGTCAGCAGTGTATCAAGGCTGGTTGTGGTTGGAGCAGAAACAGCTGTTCCTGGGCTAACCAAGGAGAGACTGATGTAATAATGAAACTATCGTATTTTTATGGATTTCTGTAGCAGTTTTTCACATTTCATGTTGTGCATTTGTTGTATGGAACATTTCCAATCCAACAATATTGCGTAAATGTGTAGAAAGTGAGACATAAACTCTGCTTAAAAATTCAGATTTTCTTCAGTGTCATTTGCAGTAGGTCATGAGGCTAGACTAGTTGATGAATAGAGTTTAGATTTCCCTCATTGTAAAATGATTCACTTCAGTTTCTAAATGGAAATACTCAGGTTAGTTGTTTCCTACCATTTAAACGTTTTGAACAAAGCTAATGTTAGCTACAACATGTCTGAGATCAGCTCTAAAAGAATCTGCACAGTGTTGTGATTCAAGGCTAAATTCATTCTCTGCTACAGGAAAGTGTTTGCCAAACGTTGGAGTCTGGGAAGAACTTTTCTGTGAGTGTAATGCTGTTTTTTTATTGTTCTTCTGATACTGATCCAGTAGAGGTTTTAATGGCAGAAGAAGGAAATTATTTTAATCTGATTATTTTTTTGTTTCACCTTCAGATCCCAGAGATCTTCTCCATCACTCCCAATGTGGTGTCGTTGTATGGCACAAACCATGCTGTGTTATTAGGTCATAACCTTGGTGACGTGTCAGGAGTGAGGATCCAGACGCACACTGACTGTGCTCCAAAAGAGTGAGTCACTTTACAGATAACTAAGATGATTCCTGGACTAGAAAGAATTTATTAAAGAAACAATTCCAAACAGGGAGACATATTTAAAACTGAATATTCTACAATTTAATTTTGACAATTGAAAAAAAAAACTTTAGCTTTACAGCTTTTAGCTTTGGAAGAGGCTGCAGAAAGTACAGGTACGAGTGATGCACTATTTGCCTCTCAGTGTCGGTGCTCAGAGAGACTGTTTGGTATCAGAGTGGAAAACTGAAACTCCGCCGTGCTTCCTGTGCTTTTGCTTTGAAGAAGTCCATCGCTGTCAGTTGCTGTGTTAAAAGGATTCCTCAGGATATTTTATAATCACAGTAGATGCGTTAAGTTTGGAAAACACATTTCTTCATACAAACAAATCTTTAATTATACTGTGGAAGATTTTACTGATCAGTTATTGTCTGTGTTCAGATTTTCTGCATAATATGATGATCTTAGTGATGACTTTTCTCGCTCTGTGTGTGTGTTCTGGTCAGGTCTCCTGTTTGGGACAACTCTGGTGTCAGTGTGACGTTCCACATTCCCAGCACAGATATCAAAGGTGTGGTCAATGTATGTGTTCTCCTCCCAGATGGTAGTTGCCACGGCGAAGCTAACATCACATACTTGTCATCACCATCCTGTACAAACGCTACTCCAAGCAGCAGCTGGATAAGGTACACTTAATTTAACTAAAACCACCCAACAAAGCCGAGATGTTGTGAAAACAGATAATGTTAATTTCTTCGAATGATTAAGAGGAACTCGTGTTGAACTTGTGTTTTTGGGGAACAGGTCACCTGAAAAAATACCCAAGTTCACTTTAGTTATTAGTACCAAACTATGAGGCAGAGGAACTGAAACTTTCACAGAAGCTGCAGCACACCTAAAGTGACACAAGCAGTGCACTGCCTGTAACATATTGTCTTCTGAAACTAGAACTTGCTTGTTTATCACAAATATACCACTGTGCCAAAGAAAATGGATCTAAAATCTGCTCTTTTTTCTCAGCTTTTTTCACAAACACTAAACCTTCTCGTTCTACAGAGGTCACACATACTGGTATTGCATAGGAAGTCTTCTTTTTTATCTTGCATTTTCTTCTTCCATTAAGAAATGATCCACCACGTTGGTTTGGTACTTAAACTCTCCAATAATACTACTGTGATCAATTAATGCTTTGTTTCAGTCCATCAGACACTTTGGTCTGCAGCATAATATCTAAACACCTACGCAGTCCCAACATTTGCTCTGAAAATTCATTTTCCTCAGGTTGCTCTTATATATACTCAAATACATATAAGAGTAACCTACTTGAGTCTATATAATATATAGACTCAAGTAGCAGTGGTCAACTATTGTTTTGCTGTCAAATTAGAGTCACTCAGAGATGGGCAGTAACGTGTTACTTGTAACGCGTTACTGTAATCAGATTACTTTTTTCAAATAACGAGTAAAGTAAGGGATTACTATTGCAAAAACGGTAATTAGATTACTGTTACTTTCCCGTAGGAACGCAGCGTTACTGCGTTACTAAAACCGTGATTTTTTTGCGAGAATGTCTCATGACAGTGACGTAAGCGAGTGCGCCGTTAGTGACAACAGCTGTGTGCAGATCAACAGTGGATCACATATTGATTGTGGGAGAGAGTATGAGCGTGCAGCGTTTAAAGCGTGGAAGTACTGACCTTACTTTGAGTTTGATTCCATAAAAAGTGACAAAAACATTAGCGTCCATCATGCGTGGGAAGAAAACTTCTTTTTACAGCGAAAAAAACCCCTAAATAAGCACCGAGTGCGCTACGACGTAATGGGAAATTCACAGAGAAACTCGCGGATTCTTCAACTGACCGCGGCACACCTGCACCAGGGTAAACCTCCGCCTACCACAGTCCTGCTTTACAGGTGAAAATAGAGCAACAGGACCGCTAGTCTTTGACTTTATTTATTTTCTATTTATTTTTATGCTGTGCATCTATTTGAAAGAGTGAGTGTAAACACAAAAAATATTTTATTTTATGTGCTGGAATAGGTTTAAATGTTAAACAAATTTCTTCCAGTCAGAGAATGTTGCATATAATTAAATTTTTGCTTGATGCATAAAGTTAAAAGATTAAAACTGATAAAACAAGTTAAAAAAAAAAGAGACTTTTCCATTTGATTACATTTTGTATGATGGATTATGCAGAAAAAGTAGAATTGGGCTGAAAGATCTATCGCTTTATCACCTCTTCAGGTTGTAAATCGTGTTTTTAAAAAGTAACTAAGTAACTAAGTAATTAATTACTTTTGAAAATAAGTAATCAGTAAAGTAACGGGATTACTTTTGGGGGGAAGTAATCAGTAATTAGTTACTGATTACTTTTTTCAAGTAACTTGACCAACACTGGAGTCACTGTAATCAAAATTATTTTGAAAGGTTCTCTGCTGTGACTAAAATGATGCTCTCTGTGTCCTGCAGTGGGAACAGGAAGATCACAGTCAGAGGGTCCCACCTGAAGTTTGTTGAAGGCATTGTACACAGCCATGCCATGCAGGAAGTTGCACTTCCCAAAAACAGCAGCTACCAGGTGGGTCTGTACACACACAGTGTCCAGTACAGTTATTATACATGACATACACCCTCTCACTGCATGCCAAAGCTCTTGAGTAATCTTCTTACAGTATGTCATCTGTACATATGCACAGACTTGCAGCTTGAAGCTTACCCTTAACCGATAACACAACAATAATAACCATCCTCTTTTTGTGCCACCAAAACAGCTCTGAACCCCACACTCTATGCTGTGTTAGCATGTACTGTCTAAAAATCAAATGAAAAAAACCCCAATAAACACATTGTAGTTTTCCTGTAGTGTATCAAGTTGAATTGTTTCAGAAAACAACGATATTACAAAAATGCAGTAATCAGAAAAATCACTTACATTTTATTGGGAGTCAAATTAAAATAAAAAGGCAAGATTAAAATAAACACCTTGTTGAAGATTGAGGGTAACCGGTAAGATTATTTGGCACAAAACAAGTTATGGAGAGAAGCTGAATCATCATTAACTGCTATCTCTCTTTAACTGCTATCTCTGTTTTATTATTGGAAAGCACTTTGGTCAACTTGTTGTTTTTAAAAGTGCTATATAAATAAAGTTGGATTGGATTGGATTAGAAATATAGATGTTGAGGCGCTTCTGATTCTGTGATTGACATTAAGTTTATCATGTCACCATCATGACCATACCATGCTAGCTATATAAAGAGTCTATGATTTATATGAAAATGTAATTCATTGCAGAGTCTCACCTATGACTCACCTTCAGCTGAAAACAGTCCTGGGATTTCTAGCAGCACTGTGTTTTTGAAAGTAGCTAATCAAACCTTGGCCTGCTCCACAAACATGTCCTACTATCCAGACCCTGAGTTTATCAGCTTCACAGCCACAAGGACAGGAAACAGTGTTCACATCACTATACGGGTAATGCATGTTTTAAATCGCACATTCACAAACATGTGACATCAGCTCGTAGAACATCAGTCTTTGCTTGTGTTGTTGTTTTAGAAAAAAGCCGATAAACTGGAGATGACAACAGCAGAGTTAGCAGTGTGGGGCGTTCAAGACAGTAAGGAATACCGCTGCGCCATGGAAACAAACAAAACCAGTGATGAGACTCACTCTTTCACTTGTGAGGTTAAAAACCCACCCGACGTTGAATTTCAGCTGTTGTTGGTAAATCTTTCTTTCATACTAACACGAGGCACTGTTTATGGACAGACAAACATACCTATCCAGTCTTTAAGACTGACATCAATAGCCATTTCTGGGTCCAAACTCCACTTCAGGTCCCAAAGTCAAACAAACACTGAGAGTTAAAAACTGTCTAAATTCTTTCATTGTTCAGATTAAGCAGAACAAGATACAAAGCATTAAAACACTTTAAAAACACAACAGCTTTAATTAACATGGAGAGGTTTGGACCAGGAAGCAGGGTTCATATGTCATCACTTAAAGACTGGATCATTGTGATAAGAGCTCCACGGTGCAGTACTCTGCTAATGGTTTAGGCACTGAAATGATATCTTTCAGATATAATATCAAGTGATTAGGTTCAAAGACAAATAGTGCTATAAATATTCTTATTCACTGAGCTTCACGCGGAGCACAATCAATCAGAATGGATGCATGATGTAACTGCTCTTTGCTTTTAACATAACGTCAACTATCCTTGTACAACA